TATACAAGAGACAATATACAGTGACACAAAAAACAACCACAACACGGAGAATTTTGGAGCCAGCAGTAGGACGGACACACGCAGCAGAACAACAACAACAACCAAGGTACAACAAATGAGACCCAAAACCCAACATTAAAGTGAGTACTCGTTGAAATTTCTTTTTTGACACCAAAGGGCATTTCGGGAGCAGGCAAATCTTCAATATTTGCATTGACCCGCATATTCCCATAATTTGCAACAACACTTTGACCCATATTCAAAGCTGCTAGTTGCCCTCAGACACTGTGAAGGAGAATTTTCCATTTGGAGCCATTTTTGTGGACAGACATTGGCTATTGACACGGTAAAAAACAGACAGACATATTTTTTTCTGAAATAGCAGGAATGTTCAAATATATATATATATATATATATATATATATATATATATATATATATATATATATATATATATATATATATATATATATATATATATATATATATATATATATATATGTCAAATGCTTTGTTTGGGGACAGCAATTTTTTTAACTTTTGAACCCATTTTTAGTATAATTAGGGCCTTCCTCAGCTACATTTAATAATCATTATGTAATTTTCCCGAAAACTTTTGATTTGCATCATATTGTTTACATAACGACTACTTTGAGGTCATCATATATGTTGTAGCTCCTTTCAGACACTGTCCCCAAAATGCACACGGCGTATATTTTGTTGTGGGTTGCCACCACGTTGTCAAATATATTCAACACAACTTAACGCCGTTGCATGATAACCGGACGTCCTTTGGGAAAACTGCAAATATAACATGAGCAACATACACATATATTCCTAAAAAAACCTGACTTTAAAACATCTTTTTATCTTACAAAAGTTCGCTTCAGGAAAAATTTTTTTCAGAAGTTCAAAAATTTCACTTGAGAGCAACATCTTCTTATAAAATTGAAGTTTGAGCACAAAATATACATAAACAATTTAAAAAGTATCAGTCGGGTTTGCCGACAGATTAATACCCTCAGCCTAAGTCTACATTATTAAAATATGTTAAGACTTGTGTTCTGTGGTTTTTCTATATATCGAACCATTATAGAGGGATATCCAGAAGATCAATATTGTTCATTTCGCATGTGACCTAATATAAAGGAATTCCAACATTTAATATGTTAAATATGGAAAATGTTGAACTTTTGTGGGGAAGGAAGAAATAGCAGACAGATGTCTCTAAGAAAATTGTAGACTTCTTTCGCATGCGAGTTATATATATTCAGAATGTTCATACTTTATGAGGGAAGTACCAGAAGGAGTAAGCAGACGTTTTGCATTTAATGAGACTCAGAAGGAGTGGGCTCAGATATATTGAAACATAATATGTTTGAAGAGCATCGCTGACTCGTTGCGCATGTTTAAGAGGTTATATTTATTAAATATTTTGAACTTATGTGAGGAAGGTACTAGAAAGAGTTGTCCGCTATTTTCGATATTCCCATCAGGTATTTTGTGTAAATGTATAGGAAAAAATCGGATTATTATATATTATTCAAAATGTTTGCCTTTGTGGGGAAGGTACCAGAAGGAGTGGTCCGCTATATTCCATTTTTACACAAGATGTTACAATGGTAAAACTATTTGTATGTGCGAAGTTTGAAAATAATCGGATGATTAAATTTTGATCATTTTTTGTGGAGGGGAGGTGCTTACCAAAAGAAGTGGTTCGCTATAGTCCACTAGATTTTATAATGGCAAAAATATTGGTATGTGTGATATTTGATGAAAATGAAAATTAGTTATTCCAAATTTTGACCCTTTGTGGGGGAGGTACCAGAAGGAGTGTCTCGCTATACTCCATCTTTACACCAGATAAATATATGGTAAAAATATTGATACGTGTGAAATTTGATGAGAATCCGATGTATAGTTTGCATTCTATGAGCGTCTTAGTTATTCCAAACTTTGACCCTTGTGGGGGAGGTACTAGAAGGAGTAGTTCAATCTTGTCCATTCTCGCACCTAATCTTGGGGTAATGCAAATATTACGATCTGCAAAGTTTGAAGAAAATCAAATAATCCGTTATCTTTATATGCGGTGAACCATTTTCAATGAAATTTTTGAATTTTTGTGGGGGAGGTACCAGAAGGAGTGGACCGATATTGCCCATCTCCGAACTCGATCTAAGTTTGACAAAAATATTACGATGCACCAAGTTTGGACCAAATCGGATACTCCCTTCGAGAGTTATCGTGCCCACCAGCCAGACAGACGGACGGACATCGCTAGATCGACTCCAAATGTCCTGAAACGGATTTGGTCCAAAGAGACCTAGGGTCTAAAACCGTTATTTCGACTAGGCACGTTTTGACCGTATCAAATGATATATACCCTCTTTAGCCATATGGCTGAGGGTATAAAAATGTACGTTTGAGGAAAACATATTAACAAAAGTAAGCAAAGGCTATAGGAAGACGGGGCCTACCATGTCATACCATGCACCATTACTTCCGTACATTGACGATTAAAAAACTATAAACATAAATAAATGAATGCATTAGACTGTAAATCTATCATCGACATTTGGCATCCATTTATAAGCCAAAAGTTCCTTTTCCAACTATAACTCACAAATTGTATCCCCTGAAAACAAGAAAGAAAAGGGTCAGTCGGCTAAACGACTGGGATATACCCTCAGAATTAGTCAGAAAAATGACTAATATAACGACCATAGGCAAAAAAGTTAAAATACTCATAAAAAGCGGTACCGTTAAAGGATCAAATACTAAAATATGGACCTACGTCCATAATATTTTAATGACATTTTTGTTGACTCCTTAGCATATCAGAGTCCAAATACGGCTTAGTAAGTCGAAAAGCGTTGGTTAACACTTGAAAATACTTAAAATAGGGAGGTATCTTAAATTGGGAGCTTTACAAAAATCAAGGCCTATATGAACAATTTTTTCTATAGATGTTTATTGTCCTCTAAAAACCTAGGATGTATATTTACTTGTTACTAGGTCAGCAAAATGTAGCAAAAACTTCTAAATATATAAAATAGGGCGATACCTAAAATGGGGGCCAATTCAATTATGGACCTAAGTCCATACTTTTTAACGGAAGCGTGTTTAGTCCATTGGGAACCCTAATGGTCAAAATAGAACAGTTTTCGTTGACATATGAATCAAAAATCCTAAAAATCGGGCGGTATCGTTGTGTGCGGTCAAAATAGAACTGTTTTCATTGAAAAATGAAGCTAAAATCTCTAAAATACTGAAAATAGGGCAGTATTGTTGTGTGGAGGATATGTCAAAACGTGGACCGATATTGGGCATTTTCAAACTTAAACTAAGTTTGGACAAAAAACTACCGTGCACCAAATTCGGGCCAGATCGGGCAGACACACGGACGGACATGGCTAAATCGAATCCAAATTACCTGAATCGGATTTCGTCTTAGCATATGTGGTGTCTAAAACCATTATTTCGAGTAGGCACATTCTCATCGTATCAGGGTTTATACGATATACCTTCTGTAGGCAAAATGATGACCTAGACTTATCTCTAGTTTAGTGAAAGAGTTGCAATGGTAGAAATTGGTGTCCTGATCACAGGAAAGGCTACCCGGGTATTTGACACAAAAGTTCGGGTTAAAAAACCAGTTTTCCGGAACTGATTACTTCAATATGGGTATCGTTGGAAAGCTTATGAAAATAACTTTCGAACAAGAAGAAAAATGTGGCCAAAGGTCGACCACCTGAAAAAAGGGTGTTGGGTATAAAAATCAAGTTTGAAGACAACATATTCTTTAAAAATCGATATTTCAGGAAAACATATTCCTCAAATATCCACTCCACTTTAAATGTTAAATTACAGCCCATTCTGTGGTTAAATGTGCTCACAGACTGTAAGATACTTAAGTTTTTTTGGGCGCGTTATGAACTATTCAAAATATTGGACTAATAGATTGCAAAATGCAAATTGCAAAATGCAAATATGCACACACACACTGGAAAATACTTTGAAACAATTAAACTTACCCATGTCGAATTATTATTAGGATAATAATTTAGGATTAGGATAATCAAATGAATTTTGATCCGCGTGAAGAAAAGTAGTGTAGGTTATCAGTAGACAACGAAATTTTATTTTTATTATGAATTAGGCTCAAGTTTTGGGACGGAGCATTTTTTGATTCTAAGTAAATTGTTATAGAAACTGATTGTACAGTAAGAAATTCCAAACTTTTATATATTTTTTGCTGGGAAAAATACTTAAAAAATCAACACTTAAAGGTAACAAAATAAAAGTTCTCAAATATACAGTAGACTCTCACAATTTCTAATGATGGATTTTGCTCAATTTATCAGTTCCTGAATAATGAAATATGTGAAAATCAACTGTATATATTGTAATTGTCAGTTGTTCATATAAACACTATGTTTATTGCAAACATAAATTTAAACAAATTAATTTAATTTAAAAGAAACGTGTAAAATTCATATGATGATTTATATAAAGTGTTTTCTTTTGATATTATTAAATATTTTATATATTTATAATACAGTTAGAATTATAGTGCAATTTTATTACACTCTTAATTTTAAATAAACATTTGAAGTTTTTATATTCGTGTATATAAATAAAGCGGTTTGTATTAAATTATATGACTTATTTTTTTTTTATAAAAGTATACATTTATAATTATATTATAATGTGTATAATAATTTACTACAAGACCTAATGGAAAATATTTTGTATCTACAATATGAAATTCATACAAGATTTAGTGCACATTGTGCATATATTAATTTAACAACATAGCATTGTAAAATAACTACCCGAAAAGGGTTTTGGAAAATTATTGTTGAATAGATTGCTGTAATGAAAGAACATTTTCATCATTAATATCTTTATTAAAATCATTAATATCATCATTAATATCAACCTTAATTTTTTGCCTTTTTTCCTTCTGTTGTCTATAAACGTTTTTACTTGTGCTGGGGTTCTGCAGCATACCACTTAATTTTCAGACACGACCCTCATGCACTCCTTGAGAGATGGCAACTTTTCCATTGAAGAAATATCCCCAAATTCAGCAGTCAAAGCTTCTTGCTCATCGATTGTCCACCGGCATTTTTTTGTTTTTCCGCAAGAAGTATCTGTAAAAATTACACAATAATCATTTCATAAGCCTAAAACAGATGTAACAAACATCCTATTTAATAATCTCAAATGAAAATGAATGCGAACAAAAGATTAAAGTCGTTTAAGAATATAACAGTTTTATCTTTCTTCATTAGCATTCATTTTTTTCGGCATAGCACAGTGAAAAATTGCACACGAAAAACCTGACCAAAACCAAATGCAATATAAATAAGGCAAACAAATATGTACTCCAAATTTATTTTTGATTAGAAAATCCAATATAAAAATATTTAAAACAAGTAATGTACTTTGTTCATATATATTGGAAACAACAAACCGATTTAAAATATTATAGAAAAAATAGTTTGTATTGGCTCTGTTCCAGAACCTGCAAGAATCTACTAGTTTTGCAATTTTTTCCGATATCGTAAAGAGGAAATCGGTTATCGTAGTAAAAACTTTAACATTCCTGCATTTCTGGAACAGACCAATTATTATTGCATTTGTGATTAATCTGTAAAATGTCAAATCGGCCATGATATCAAATCTTTACTGGATTTTAAATAAGGCAATTTGGGGAGTTTGAAAGTGCCGGTAGCATAATCTAAAAAAATATTTGTACTGTTTAAATAATTTTGTGAGTGGACCAAAAAGGCCACATTAATACTCAGTAGGAGGGTTAAGTGAAATGAAATATAAAATCAGGAATACAAAAAAAAATTAAAGCTAGATCATAATGCATTTGATTTTGGTCATGGTTTTCGGTAAATTAACCACTGTGTATTTTGAAACATAAGTCTACGCAAGCTTAGTTATAGTTTCTACTCAATATACTTACTATCAAGTTTCTTATTGTAGGTACTACTAGTCTTCCTATTATACTTACTACTAATTTTCTTTTTTACCAAAATTGCGCCATATGTAATATTGTCTGATTCATCAGATGATGACTCAGATTCGGAAGATATGTTTCCACGAAGATTATCAAAACTATTATTTTCGGAGTTTTCCTCATTCCTACAACCAGCAGCTGACAGCAAAATCTTGGACACTGTAGTGATTTCCGCCATTGGCACCGATACTCTATAAATACTTTTGTGTATATCCTTATGGTGCCCAAGAAAATTTGCTAGCTTATCCACTGTGGCTTCTTCAACGTTTAGCAAAGCTGTATACGTTGCTATATGCTTCCTTAATTTAGTTCCTCTTAATGTGTGAGGAATAGTAGCCCCACACTCTAAAGCAAACTTGCGTAATAACGGGCAAGCTCTTATATATTTTTTTGATATTCCTGATGATCCGGGAGCCGAGAAAATATAGTGATTTGATTTCGGGATTCCGGCACTATTGCGATGCTTTAATATAAGGTCAACTGCCTTTCTACTTAAAGGATCCAGCAATATGCTGACAGTACGTCCTAATTTGCCTCTTAGGGTAATTCTTACATACTGTTTAGCGAATTCAAAAGATTGGTTAGCAATATTATCAAGAAATCCAGCTTCTATATTGTCAGTAATAGTTTCCTTCTTATTGTAGTTTTCAATAGTTATTCTCTCGATCTCACCGGCTCGTCGTCGATTGAACACTTGTAGACATATTAGAGTAGTTTCCAAAAGATTTTTCCAATCATCAAAGATAAATTGTTTAGTTAATGTAGCTATAGAATATACCATTTTGGTTCTTAGAAAATCATAAAGTTGTTTGATATCTTTTTTGTTTGGCAAATCTTCCTTCTTAGATCTTTTTTGTTTTCTCTATCTTCAATAGCTGTTTTATTTATTTGAGTGGGAGTCTCTTCAACCCACAATGAAACAAAATTGTCCAAAAGGTCTTTCATATCAATATTTTGATTTTTTATGAACTCATTCTTTTGTATGTTCGCACATTTTTTTATCAAACCACATAAGTTGGTGGCAACTGCTGGAGTAGAAAACCCCCGACCAAACTCCCACTTTGCAGTTTTGCGTAATGCTTCAATTGTCATATCAAACAAATGTGGCTTAAAAATTTCCTTCAACTCCTTTATTTCAGGATGTAATTTTATGCACTCAATTTTGAATCGACCCAAGAGTCTCATGTTCGCTCGAATTTGATCATGGTGGTGAATATCAGGTAACTTTTCGGATAACCTGTTGCCGTATCTAATTATTAGTTCGTCATACCGAATGGCCTGTGTAATTTCATCGTTTCGTAGAACGGGAAAAATCGCTGTTTTCATTTCTGTGTTTGCCAATTCGTGTACGTATTGAGTGATTTTCCTACCTTCAATGAAATTGTTCCGTTTATTTTTTTTATTAGAGCATTTACTAATATGAGTTCTTGCCGAAGTGATGCTATAATACCCTTTACAGTGGACGCAGCATACGTAGTGGTCTGCTTTATGGTATGCTTCTGATTGTTGTCGTCTTGTAACGATAAGTGAACCTGTATTTTTATCATTATGTATATTATGTATAAAATCTCCTTCTTTTCGGAGCTTATCAAATATTTCTCTGCGTTTTCGGTTTCCTTTTGATAAGGCCATTGCCATTTTAACCATATTCTCCTTTTTGTGCCTCAAACAAAAGTGTCGAGCAATCTTACATTGTAAGGTTTTACAAAACACACAGAAATGTTGCTTTGATTTTTGCTTCGAAAATGGTACTGTCAAAACATCGACTTTTACTGGTTTAGGTATAACCTCTATGAAGGAGCTCACATTTGTGCTATTTTTGTTGTTGCTAGAATCGGGGGGTAGAAATTCTGACGTAGAGTTTCCTGGCAAAGTTTCGATTGTAGAATTTATTGTGCTTATATCCGTAAAACCTACACAGTCACTGGTTTCTTGTGGTTCAATTGCCGTTGAGTTTTTGAAGTGGAATTGATCTGTAGTCCGCATTTCAGGGGACTTTCTATTAGATATTGCTCCCCATGACGATTCTTCTAATCTGTCCAATGACAATAGCGGCGACCTAATTCCGCTAGTTGATCCTGTTTCCTGTAGTATTTGTGGGTTTTTTACGGATGTGTAACCAGAAACGTTGTGTATTACCATACCATTTGAGTCAGGTGGTAAACAATCGGACGAAAAGTCTTCTGATTGAGTTTCAATTGTAGAATTTATTTTGCTTGCATCCGTGGTATACAAAGTATTATTGGTTACTTTGGGTTCAATTGAGGTCGAGTTTTTTATACAGCTAAGGTTAATATTCTGCATTTATATATATTCTTCAGGATAATTTCTATTAGATATAGTGCACAAAGACGATTCTTTTAATATGTCAGCTGATGACAATGGCTGAGACTTTTTTATTCCTTGTTCTTTTCGTGGGGTTTCTTCAGATAACCCCAAAGAATTAATTGCTACAGTTTCCCAAACTTCGTTTTCTGGTTCATCAGTTGTTGACCTCTCCCATTCAGTGCATATTTCCACAGTAAAATCTTGAATATATGCTTTAGATGGACAATTTAAGTCCATTGATTTTTCTAATAGCTCTGTTGATGAATAAATTTCTGATGGATCTGAATTTTTTTTTGATTTTTCTTCCGATTTACTATTTTTGATGTCCGGCGGTAAAATTGCATTTTCTTTTATTTGCTTTTGTTTAAGAAGTTGTAATTTGTCATCTACAAAAATATACTATGTTAAAACTTTCCCCAAATATATATTTCTATATTTAAAATCAAATTTGATTCCAAAAAAACAATGCTAGGACTAATTAATAACTGCATCATCACCATGATTTTTCAATAAACAGTAATTATATCTATTATAAAAATTATATAGCTATTTTTGTTAACATACCGCTAGTCGAAATTAATTTAGCTGCATATTTTCCGCCTTTACATTTCACCACACACGTACCTCCTTGGATTTGTGTTATAGATTTGGAATTTACGACACAAAATTCTGAATCGTCATATGTGATCAAGGAGAATTTAAATAATCTATAATAAAAAAATATTTAGTGTCAATTATTTTTGATAGATATTTTTAGTTTTATTTTTAAAACGTTTCTTGCTTCTCCCATAAACTTATGGTTTTTTGGGCTAAGTATGCTTACCTTGATAAATCAAATTGTCCTCTTGATATAGTTTCAAAAGATGAAAAATCTGTCGTATTATTCTCTTCCGAATCCGATGCGTTATTTTCACCATGTATAGTGACTGAAGACATAGGCTCTTTATCTGATCTGTTTGATCCTAGTGGAGGTAGATTTTTTATATACTCTTTCATGTATAACATTGTCGACGGTGAAATATTTTGATAAGCACGACCACGGCTTGCAGGAATTCTTGATGCTATTTGTGTTTCTTGATTCTCCGCGTTTATTGTCCCCATTAAATTCTCACCTTGTTTCTTCTCTTCAAGATTTTCTTTATTATCTATGTAAATTAATGTATTAATATTTTAGTCCTGGTAACGTTCTAATATAAAATCTAACTCTAATGTATTCTACGGAACTCTACAAAACTCCGACGGATATAATCTTGAGTTTTACTTAATTCGGTTAGTAAGTAAAGCATTTTCCTTTGACGCTTTTTAGACTTTTACAGTCATATTGTTTCTTGTATTTAATTATGAAAAAATGGCGCCTGTGATGCTTTAAGTTTATTTTTATTTATTTTTTGGACAAAGTAGCACGATCTAAATGATCGTTTTTCTATTTTGTGACCAAATTTGTTCCAGAAATTTTACAAATATTTTTGGAAATAAAATTCGAGCAATATTTATAAAATTCCGACGCGGGTTTGAAAATTATATTATTTCTTATTCACCTGCTGTGATTTTTTTCTTAAAAATCATTTTTGCATATTTTAGCAATAATTTTTCATACCCTTTGCATGCTGACAAGGACATGCGATGAAAAAAAGTTATTATCATGATTTCACAATATACAGGCATGTCATGGAAACTAATGTGTCGCATAGACACATAATTTATACTCTTATTTAAAAAAACGGTTTAATTATTTGAATATGTTTTGTATATTAAATTGTATTAACTTACCGTCAGCTTTAATGAAAATTGCGGAGTACGAACAGCCTTTATACTTTACAATACAATTGTCGGAATTGTGATGCTTCACGTCTTTTGTTTTGACAACATAGAAGTCACCGTCATTGTCAAACTTTACTAGAGAAAACATGTTGAACTAAAAAAAAACTTTCAACGAAATTTTAAAAAAATAAGTTTTAAGTTTTGTTTTATAGAGAGGGTTATTTTACATCTATTGAAGAATACGTAAAATTAAAGTAAAAAAAAAAATTGGGACTAATAATTATTATAGATTCATTTTCAAATACGCGTCTTCAATCTTTTCTTCCTTTACAAAAAATAATTTAACGATAAAATATGCTAAGCAGAGCTTAAACATACTCTGTGTTTCTTGCACGAATTCGATCGGAAAGCGAAACTGGAGCAATCGCTCTCACTTTTTGATCGCTTCCTCGAGCGAGTAATAATCGCTCGCAAGCAAATCGGAACTCTGAATTAAGCAAAAGTAAAAAAATTCCGATTTGAATTCATTTTCACCCAATATGGCTAAGTCCATATACTTTTGGGTCCACTGTTGTCCCATTTGGAGGTGTGAGATTTCTGAATTCGCCATCAAAAATGGGATTAGACCACCCAATCTATTATTCCCTAAATATATTCCAACGTCAGAAAAAAAAATGCGATTTGTAGTCACCCAATATGGCTAAGTCCATATACTTTCGGATTTTCAACACTACTCCTTCATTTACTATTAAATTATACCTTATATAGTACTTTTCCAACAGTAATGGTACCCTTTTTTTAAAACATCTCCATATATCCACCCAACATTCTCTACTCAACAATTATATCCTATTTAGAAGTATTCCAACACTTATTGCTCTCGTTTTCCAAAACTTCTTTATATAACTATAGAGAGCTTTCCATTATTGATTCTCATACCAAATTCGACGATTCTAGATCCATTCATTCATAACATACGAATAGTAACATTTAAAGTACATATTAGAAGTTTTCGTACCCTTTTGGTACAAATTTCCAAAAACGATTTGTCACATCTATCCTACACACCATCGGTGACGCTGAATCCAAATTGCAGAGCTGTAGCTCTTCTCGGTTGCTTTTCGTACCCTTCCAAACGTCAAAAAATCCAGCCTTAGCACTCACCTACAGCCCAACATCAACCCGGACGGAGCCGACTATATGACACCCTACACCACTGCTGTTATGTGCACAAAATTGCATTGGGTTTTTATAGCCTTCACTCGACCTTATGTGTCCAATTTCATGCCTTTTGGGCTAATTTGCACATTTGGTGCACAATGCATCAAAACTCGGATGAAGTTATTTATGGGAGCTATATCTGAATCAGATAAGATTTTCACCAAATTTCATAGAGTTAATTCTTGGTGTATACGACTACATGTGCTAAAGTTCATCCCCTTTGGGCTGATATTGCACAGGCTGTGCACAATAAACCAAAAATCGGATCAAGATATATGTGGGAGCTATATCTAAATCACATCCGATTTTCACCAAATCCCACAGAGTTAATTCTTGGTGTACATCGGCTACATTTGCCAAATTTCATCCCATTTGGGGTATTATTGCACAGGTTGTGCACAATAAACCAAAAATCGGATGAAGATATATATGGGAGCTATATCTAAATCAGATCCAAACCAAACAAACATTGTTTGCAAAATTTCATCTCAATCGGATAATAAATACGACCTGCATTTTGTTCACAAGAATACATGGACGGACATGCATAAATCGATTAAAAAAATGATTCTATGAATATCTTCAAAAGTAACCATGGGTCTATCTCGCTTATTTCTCTCTGTTACAAACAAATTCACAAATACATAAGACCCTTACCACTATGTGGTGTAGGGTATAAACACATTCTATTAAAATTTCGGTTTTAACACTTAGGCAGAAAAGGAAACTTGTAGAACTAAATTTTAATAACAGCAGCATTTGGGGTAGTTTGGACCAGGAAAGGCTGAATTTATTTACACAAAACAAGTAAATAAGCAGCTAATTCCGGCCGGGCCGAACTTTTAATACCCTCCATCATTTAGAAAGAATTTGAAAGAATTTTAAAAAGCCGTCGAAAAATAAACCTAAAATGAAAAAATACTGAATATCGGGAGATACCGTTATATGGGGGCTAAGCGAAGATGTGGACCTGCATAGATAGGTTGTAGTACCCATTGCGAATATTAAATGCGAAATTTGAAACAATTCTGGCGAAAATGTCGCTAAAATCATCAAAATACCGAATATCGGGAGGTACCGTTATATGGGGGCTATCCGAAAATGTGGACCTACATAGGCAATTTTCTGTCATAGGTTGTAGTACCCATTGCGAAAATTAAAGACGAAATTTGAAACAATTCCGGTGAAAAATGTTGCTAAAATCATCAAAATACCGAATATCGGGAGGTACCGTTATATGGGGGCTATACGAAGACGTCGACCTATATGGCCCCTTTTCAATACCAAAAGTCCTGCACACATTATATACATCTGAGCAAAATTTCATCAACCTATGTCATTTCGTTCGGTAGCTAGAGTGATTTTCACAGACGGACGGAAATCGAGAAATCGACATAGAATTTTACGCTGATCAAGAATATATATACTTTGAGGGGTCTAAAATGTATATTTCGAGGTGTTACAAACGGAATGAAAAATTTAATATACCCTCCATACTATGTATGATGGAGGGTATAATAATGCATATATTAGTGCATGGACTCCCGCAAACACAAAGACATAAAAGAGACTTCTGAGCAGGGCACCCGGTTTGTGATATTCTGGTCAGGAATTTAAATAAAGATTTTTTGGGTGTTAGACAGGTGGGTTTCCACTATTCAAGTGTAGCTCCAAATAATTTACATTTATTTTTGTCCTATATGGGGTCGCAACTTTTCAGCCGATGTACTCTATTTTCAACCAAAATTATTGGTCACCGAAAGTATATGGGAAATAACCCTATGCATTTTTAAGAACAACACAACAGTTTTTTGCTTTTAAGAACAATAATCCAAATTTTTTTATCACTGTTTTATAACATAATTTGGATGTTATTGATAAATTGATCAAAACACACATTAATACGCAAAAAGCAAAAAAGTTTGTACTCAAATCATGAATTTCAATAAACTCTTGAAGACAAGCAGCATATGGGCACTCGTCATTTCCATGATTTTCTTCTTTTGATCCGATGATTTCAGGTACTCCAAGCGAAGTGTTTCTTAAATTCCGCACAATTGTAGGCAGTTTTTTAAACATGAAAAAATCTGCAAAAGTAAAATGTTTAATAATTGCAAACGATGATCTACGAACATGTACTTACACTTTCCATTGAATTTTGATGAACTGAGCTTCCTGGCATTTGATTTAATTTTACTCCTCAGGTAAGCAAGATTTTCATTGTGAGTAACACTGCAAATGGTCAATATTTTCCAAACATTATCCATTTACGTTGATTTTGTTCTAATGTTAAAATAAAATTATTGTATAGGGAACACGAAATTGATTTTGTTCTTTGTTTTGCTATTTAATTCGATTTTGAGTAACAGGGATATGTAAATATATTTTCGACATAATGTAGCACGACCAATGATATCAACGATCACCGTTTGTATGTTTGATGCAGGGCCGCGGTTACATAATGTTGTGTCGAAAGTCGATACAATCTCAAAATCGAATCGATAAATAGCAAAAGAAGAGAACAAAATCAATCTATTGCTCCCTATACAATAATTTTATTTGAAAGGGCGCGAAGTAATAAACAAAACATTGGAACAAAATATACGTAAATGGATAACGTTTGAAAAATATTGACCATTTACAGTGTTTTTCACAATGAAAATCTTGCTTACCTGAGGAGTAAAATAAAATCCAATGCCAGGAGGCCCAGTTCATCGAAATTCAAATGGAAAGTTTAAGTGCATGTTCGTAGATCATCGTTTGCAAATATTAAGCATTTTTCTTTTGCAGGTTTTTTATATTTGTTAAAAACTACCTACACCTTGTGCGGAATTTAAGGGACACTTCATTAATGTGTGTTTTGATCAATTTTTCAATAACATCCAAATTATGTTTTAAAAACAGTAATAATATTTTATGAATATTTATTAGTAAAATAAAACCAAAAATTTTTGTGTTGTTTTTAAAAATGTATATGGTTATTTCATCTATTCTTACGGTGACCAACATTTTTGGTTGAAAATAGAGTACATTTAGACATCAACTCAAAAGTTGTGACCCCATGTAGGACAAAAATAAATGTAAATTATTTGGAATAGTGGAAAGCCTACCTGTCTGGCACGGATTTAAATTCCTGACCAGAATATCACAAACCTCTCTCTATGAGGTTTTGAATGTCGCGCCGTACGAACTCCGCGATAAGAGTCGGCATATATATGGATCGTGTGCACTGATCATAAGAGTGAATGCACTTATATGTGCATTATTTTGTTTGATTGAATTTAGCCTTGCCTGGTCCCAATTAACCCAAATGCTGCTGTTATTAAAACTTAGTTCAACAAGTTTCCTTTTCTGTCTAAGTGTTAAAATCGAAACTTTAATAGAAAGTGTTTTTATACCCTCCGCCATACTATGGAGGGTATATTAAGTTTGTCATTCCGTTTGTAACTCCTCGAAATTCTCATGTTAGACCCCACAAAGTATATATATTTTGGATCAGCGTAAAATTCTAAGTCGGTTTATCGATGTCCGTCTGTCTGTCTGTTGTAATAACGCTATCATTCGAACGAAATGAGATAGAAGGCTAAAATTTTGCACACATGTTTATTTTGTCAGTAGGCATGTTAAGTTCGTAAATGGGCCATGTCGGCCCACGTTTTCGTATAGCTCCCATATAACTGTACCTCCCAATATTCGGTATTTCGATGATTTAAGCTACATATTAACCGGAACTGTTCCAAATTTCGTATATGAAGTTCGGAATAGGTTCTACAGCATATGACACAAAATTGCACATTCAGGTCCACGGCTTCGTATAGCACCCATATAATGGTACATCCCGATATTCGGTATTTTGATGATTTTAGCGACATTATTAACCGGAACTGTTCCAAATTTCGTATTTGAAGTTCGAAATGGGTATTACAGCCTATGATAGAAAATTGCCTATGCTGGTCCCCGTTTCCGTATAGCCCCCATACATCGGTACCTCCCGAATTTCGGTATTTTGAAGGTTTCTGCCACAATCAACATTGATAAACATAGTGGTTAAGGGTATAAATAGTTCGGCACGGCCGAAATTACAATTACTGTCTTAACGATTTTCTTCGTTTAAAAACTCACCTGCGCTTCTATGACTTTAAACAAATCAACATAGTGGACAACGAGAACCACCAATAAAAAAGAGGACACTTAAAGTACGTTAATAAAATATGGAACGCAAACCAAAAAAAAAGTACTGTTCACTATAATAGAGTAAACTTATGATGCAAGTAGGCTTTAATAATCCAAAATGTTTAATAAAAAAGATGCATAACTATTTTTCAATAATAAAAACGCTAACACTGCAATAAATGAAAAATTTTACCTATTTTCAACGTGTAATGTGATGTGTGCCGCTTTATATCTACTTAAACTATTTATACCCTACACCACATAGTGTTAGTTTGTAACTTCGGAGAAGATACATAGGACTGTCCTTAAATGTCAGACTGTCTTTAAGTACCAGAATTGCAGGCTACATTTTGAGTTTTTTTCTAAAATTTTCAAGCTGTCCCCCCTCTTCAACATTAACCGCCTGGGCCGCCCTTGTGTATAGAACTAAAATCATTTCAATCCAATGAATTGTATTAATTTTCAAATCTTTTAATAATCAATTTATGAAAATAAAAAGTCCGAACACCAAAAATTGAAACAAAATCTAATTATTTTGAATTGAAGGAGCGCCAGGCATTATTTAATCACACACGCACACAAAGGGTTCATCGACAGCAGCAGTTTGGCAGTAAATGTATGGGCCGCTTACAAAGCATACAAATATTGAAAACAAAAAAAAAACATGACAAAAAAAGGGTTATTCATGGCAAATGATTCATAAACACTCACACACTTTTCATTACAATTTTTATCAATTGTCCATCCAGGCATGTGTTTTCCCTTTACACACCAGGTAAGGAAGGTTTGCACGCTGAAATAAATTTTTAGATCAACAATATTTCATAATAATTATCTATTACCTCACCTTGAATATTCATTTACAATATTTTATTAACATTGCGCTCTCTTCTTTCAAGTGTATTGTTCGGAAAACTAAAAATTGATTTTGATGAATTGATCATGTAACATCGGCTCTGTTGTCCAACAAAGAATAGCGCTTATCGCTGTAGATAATCGACTTGAATATCCCTAAACGCGAATAAAGTAACAAAAGCAATGATCGAAATAAAATTTTAGTTCCCTGAACAATACTTTCGAAAAAGGAGAACGCAAAATAAACAAAATATTGTACGTGAATAGTTAAAGTGAGTTAGCGGATAATTATTAGAAAATATTGTTAATCAGAAATGTATTTCAACGCGTAAACCTTCCTAAACTACTGGGTGAAGGGAAATATATGCATAGATGGATATAAAAAGTGTATGTTAATGTTTATAAATTGTTTGCATTGAATAACCCTTTTTCTTTTGCCAGATTTTTTGGTTTTTTTAAATTTGTCATGCGGCTCATACATTTTACTTCCAAACTGCTGCTGCCGCTGAACATTTCGTGTGCGTGTATGATTAAATAATGTCTAGCGCTTCTTCAATCCAAAAATAATTAGATTTTGTTGGAAATTTTGATGTTCGGAATTTTTTCCAAACATAAAATTTGAAAATAAATACAATTCATTGGATTGGAGGGAATTCAGTTTTATAAATTGTTTTGATCTTTATCCTGCTTGAAAACTCACACATTAGTCATGTTTATTTTGGAGAATTTTCAAATAAATAATCATAAAGGAGGTTATTCTGAGGATTTTGGCTTATCTCTATTTTAGTAAAAACTCTAGAATTTTTTTGCAGTGGTTGAAATTGTTGTCCTGATCACAAGAAAGTACTTTTTTCGTGGGAAACGGCCCGGCTTTCCGGAACCGATAACTACAATATGGGTATCGTTGGAAAGCTTATTTTGAACAAGTAGTAACATGGCGGTATTATTTCTATCGCTTTATGAGATATTTCCAAAATACCTGTTTTCAAAATTGGGTTTTTTGTAAAACACTACCCATTATGGGGTTTCGCAAAATTGGTACCAAATTAAATCGTACCTTTTGACTTTTCCAAAATGGTATAACATAAAAATATGGCCAAAGGTCGGCCAACTTAAAAATGTAATGAATATAGATATACTTTGGATCCCGTAGCCTGTGTTGGAAATACCCCAGAGGAGAAAATCTCAAGTCACGGCCGAAGGTCTGCCACCTAAAAAGATATTGAATAGGACTGTTTCCGTCGAAAAATGAAGCTGAAATCTTTAAAATACCAACAATCGGGTGGTATTGTTGTGTGGGGGATATATCAAAGATATCAAGATATAAGCCATTTTCGAACTAAAACTAAGTTTGGTCAAAAAACTACTGTGAACCGAATTTGGGCCAGATCTGGGGCTCCGTTTGAGAGTTGTCGAGCTCACCAGCCAGCCAGACAGACGGACGGACATTGCTAAAGCGACTCCAAATTGTCTGAAACGGGTTTACTCTTAACACGTGTGGGGTCTAACACTATTATTTCGAATTGGCACATTTTCATCGTATGAGGGGATAAAAACCAAAAGAGTTAAATGTCTTTTGGGAGCTCCAGCTTTGATCGGGCTGAAATTTTTTTGTTAGTCCTCAGCTTCCTGACCACAACGACATACATATTTTCGAGGGGAAGTCCATACTTCCCGAGAAATGGGCCTTGACTTTTCGGAAAATCACCATTATTACTGCTATAACAATATGCATATCATTTTAAAGCTCACGAAGAGTACTTTATAATGCGGACAATATAGAAGAGTTAATAACGGTGATATATATCAAAAAGTCAGGACACATATCTCGGGAAGTATGGACTTCCCCCAGAAATATCAATATCGTTGTGATCAGGAAGCCAAGGACTTATTATGGTAAAAATATCAGCCCGATCCGAGAGGAGCCCATTATGAACCCAAAGGTACTATTGCAGGAAATTTCCTAAAAGTCAAGACACATATCCCGGGAAGTATAGACTTCCCCCGGGAACCCTATATATTGTTGTGATCATGGTCCCGGAGACTACCCCACCTCCAATCTTACTCCATCTTTTATAATAAATAATTTGTTTCTTATGCTTAATTAACTGTGCAGTTACTTACATTTTAATACTTCTTCAGCAGACGCACCGATTTCCTTAAAACCTCCTGGTTTTTCTTCTTTTTATAAGAGAGGGAAGACACACTTGCTCTTCAAAACGTCTTTTTTTAATTCTGCAGCAACTTTATTTTAAAATTTTTCGTTTATTTTTATAATTGGAAATTGCGCTATAAACTGTAAAAACCACTCCGATTTATTTCACACAGTAACAACGAATGACGCGCTTTTGAAAAACTTGCATAATATGGCTTCACGCAACATTAAACTACAACACTGTTGCCTATGAAAAATATCAACAGAGATGTATTTTTCATGCCGAAACCTTCGGTCCGAAATCGACTCGATTTAAAGAAATCATGATATAAGCCCCAATGTTTTCCCCTTTAGCAGAAGGAACCAAGTAAAATGAATCTCATGTCAACTTTGAAAAGATAAAAATCTTAAAATATGTGAAAATCTAACAACATTAAAAAAATTTAAAGATGTATGCATATATCCTGTGTGGATTTATAAATATTTTGTAGCTTTGTTCCAGTACTGCAAGAAGTTACTATTTTTTTTTTATTTTTCTCGATAACATAAAGGAATTGTATCTTAGTAAAAAAATTTAGATTCTTGCAAACAAAAATTAAGAGAGAATGAACTATGTGACTTTGAATTACATATAGCGTCGTATGAATGGGTTTATTCGTGTACCCGCTTTACTTTTTTTGTTCTATGAGTTCGTAAAATCGAGTCGATTTTGCACCGCAAGTATAAACGCGCCTAATTTACTTTCTTTTGTTTCTGGATTTTTACGCAAATTTCAGCAAATTGACAACCTATATTCTTCTACCATGGGCATACCAAATACTTTAAATCATAAATGAAATGAAATCGTTTGGTATGCAAATATAATAGTCCATTTATATTGAAGTTCTTTATCAGGACTTAGCGCATTATCGGGTTTTATTTTCCTAAAAAAACCTCATGTGAAAAAATAAGCAAAATAAAGGAAATAAAGTAGCAATGATTCCTACAGAAATCAAGTTTGATTGAAATTGCTTTTGTTAAATATTAAATACAAATAATGCGTATTCAAATGTTGAGATATGCTCTGTCTTAAAACTAGAGGGTAGTAGACCCTATTGTAGACCTATTTTTGCCGATAACATAAAGAAAAAAATGTTATTTTCAGATTCTGGAACATATCAAAAATTTAAGGATTTGTTGCTTAAACATCATAAAAGTTTATCTAAATTCTGCGATATTTGTACGGGATTTTTTAAAATCTAGTGGAGATTTTATTCCGTATAACTGAGCTATAAATCCTAAAAAAGATCCAAAGTTTGGTTTTGTCTTCGGCAAAAAAATACAACACTGTTGACACTTTTGCATGCAGTGTTGTAAAACCTTTAGCATATTTTGATGTCATAAGTGACAACAGTGTTGTATTTCCACGTCGTGGTCGGAACGTAACGGAAGAATGTGATAACTTGTTATTGTAGTAAACATTTGTGGGTTTTTGCACATTCTAGTACATAGCAATTGCAAGTCCAAATCTACATTAGTTTATCGGTGAGAGAGTTTATAGTACGTTTACAACTCAAAACTTGTTTGAGTTATTAGACTAATCTTCACAAATTTTCCACAGTCGCACTTTGGTTGGCTTTCGCTTTGTTTTTTATGATTAAATTAGTCCGAAGCTTATTCCGTAATATTTAAACGACTACACTCAATATGTATATTTCATAAATTTCATGTGATTTTTCTGTGATTATTGCAAAAACAAAATAAAACTAGTAAGCAAAGGCTACAGTCGGGCGGGGCCGACCGTATAATACCCTACAACACTATAATAAGCCATACAGTTTATATAGGAATGATACTCGAACGCATTCTTCAAGATAGAGTGATAAATAATTTTTCGTGTAGTATGGCTTTAATCTATTTTTTTATATCCAATTTAAAAATTGATGTTGGACTCAAATGCTGCTCGTTTCGAATTATCCTATATCTAGAAAATGGCAAAAGTATAACATTATTGTTTTTTTTAACCGAAACCATGTGGACATGCTCATTTTCGTGGCATTTAACCCATATTTACCCCCTCTGTATCTCCAAATATAGACTCTTCTACATGATTTGCTTTTCTTTCAACTAAATCTGCATAAAAATGCCAGAAGTTCGTCTTTAGTATATTTGTAATTCCGCCTGGAAGTTATTTTCAGGATTTCGGTAAAATGAAAATGTTCGTATTTTTCGCACAAAAATAGTCGTCCATTCTACCCGCTGTCTTGAACTCTAACCTGATGCGATATTTCGTGTTCTTTGGTCTCTTATTGTGCCCTTTTTAACGGCTGCAAAATCAGAAAGATTTTTAGTTGCTGGCCCATTTCAGCCACTAAATATATTGCGGAAATCTTCAATAACAATAGGCCTAACATTTTTGAGCCTAACCCTACCCTCGTGAAAATTTTCGTGAAGATCGGACGATAATTGCAATCTGTATATTATAATCCCAACCTGTGTTGTAAGGTAAAAAAAATATTAGTAAATGTATATTCAATATTCGTGAAGATCGGACGATAATTACAAACTGTATATTATAATCCCAACCTGTGTTGCAAGGTAAAAAAAATATTAGAAAATGTATACTTCAATATTGTAAGTCAAAATGAGAAAATCACATGCGATAAAAAATATGAAAAAAATAAAAAATATCACAAAATATTACAAAATGCATATTATCGTCATTATTGACATCTTTTTATGCGAAACAAAAAAAAAACATTCTGAATTGACAAGATTTGTCAAAATCTGTCCAGCCATTCTTGAGATATAAGCGCGCAAACTAACATCCATTTCCATTTTATATATAAATTCTACATATTTCGCTATATATACCTGATATCATTACTATCAACATCTATGTAACGGTCAGAATTGACCTTCTCGTTTATTTGTGATTTTGCCGGGACTAAAAATATTCGCGGTTTATTGAAAAATTTGATTTTTTCAACACAAAATTCTGGGTCTATTTCAC